GTTTCGTGTCATCAGCAAACTTGCTGAGGGAGCACTCTGTGCCTTCATCCAGGTCATTGATGAATAAATTGAACAGGACTGGACCAAGGACTGACCCCTGGGGAACCCTGCTAACCACAGGCCTCCAACTAGACTCTGCACCGCTGATCACCACTCTCTGGGCCCTGCCATCCAGCCAGTTCCTAATCCACCTCACTGTGCGCTCATCTATCCCACACTTCCAGAGCTTGCCGGGAGATGGGCAAGAATCATGGATGAAGAATCATCATTTTAGAATTGCACTGGCAGATGGTGCTCTTTTGGTGATTACGATTAGCAGTGGATGAGGAGAGAGCAAAATTGGCATGGTGAGGAGGCTTCCCTCTAATGCCAAAGGAACAATCAAGGAAGAGAGCCAGGAGGCCTGAGTCACACAAACCAAGGGAAAAGGGAATTTAATGGCATCTTTTAAAAGAAGTCAGAGCAAATGAAGTTGGGGTTATTGTCACGGATGCTATTGGTAAAAGTCATTTGTTAGGGTACAAGGTAGTGCGGGAAACAGAACTGGTATTTAAGAGAGGGGTTCTAGTCACTGCCCATTTTCAGATCATAAATGTGAGGATATAGTTCAGACTTGCTTTGCTCAGCCCAGAAATGTGAGATGAATATGATGCATTTCAGGATGAATATTCTCATACTTGTTTTTGTGCCACACTGAGCTTTTGAAATGGATATTATGATGTGGAGAGAGTTCAAAGCTCAGCTAGAATACAGCAAGTCTGCCCAAAGGAAGAAATTAAATCTGTGCTGCTGAGTGAGAAGTTTATGCAGATTTTAATATGCACACACACAAATATATGTATATACACACACATTTTTTTTTTACCTTTATAAACTCTCATCTTGGCTGTTAGCAAACTGCCTTTCCTGCCTTTAATTTGGGAATGCTTGAGACAAGTGGAAGTATCCCAGATGATAACTCAGTTTAAATTTGACAGGGCTGGTGGAAAGATGTATATATGGCCATTCTGCTTAGTTCAGAAAGCAGTTAATTGCCATACTTTATGTGCAACTATATGCTGATTTGAACAAAGATAAGTCTTTGAATCAGTTTTAGTTGTGACTTGTGAGGTAGTTTTACAGGACCTACCTGTTTTCCAGGCTTTTGAGAAGTGAGAGGATGGCAATGTTATGCCAGTGGAAGAGGAGAGTTTCTTGTGAGAACAGGGCAAGTCATGACTGAGGCCAGCTTAACTGCGTTATGGTGTTAAATATTCACCTGCAATCAAATCATTCTGTAAGCTACATCAGTGAACCCATAATTTTTTACTCTGATTTCAGTCTAGATTGCCGACTGTTGATAGAAATTGTCTTATTCAAAAATTAAGTTGCTGTCCTCCCCACTTTGTTTCATAGAATATCTGGTAAAAATGTTTCGTGTGAAGTAAATGAAATGAGCAGAGAGCATGTATGTGGTTTCCCAGTGCTGACTGATCAGAAAACCTACAGCTTCACATTAGGTGTCTCCAATCCTGTCGGGCAAGCAGAGTCCTCACTTTTGGTTGATTTAACTCAGAGAGGTAAGACTTAAGAATTACAAAAGCAAAAAGATGTACCTTCTGCATGCTGACGATTTTTTTGAGTTCACATCTGTAACATGCTAAGCTTACTATTAGTTTGCTCTGTTGTCACCAATATTTTGCATTGTTCAGTAATTTGAATTTAAGAAAAGAACGTTTAGGACGTGACCTGTGATGAAGAACAGGTCTGCATGGGGATGCTAGGTCCCCAAAGCCATGCTACCAGACTGGATACAGTGCTGGGTAAATGCTACTGTGATCTAGCGAGGTTCCAGTGTCTGTTTACATGTTACTTCAAAGTTCAGTAACTATCAAACATCAAATATGAGGTGTAACTTATAAACTGTTAGTGACCCATATTGCAGTGTCTGCTTATAGGGCAAGATCTTACAAGCTTACTTTTGCAGGATTTGGAGCCTGAAGCAGCAGCACTGATAGGCCTTAGCAGTACTATTGCAGCCATGATGCTGTGCTCTTCTGGTTTGTTGAAGCAGTATCTTTCAGTTGAACCCCAGTATCAGTGAGTAATGGGAGAAGATAAGCCACAACAAACAATTGACAGGTCCTATTTTTTTTTCCTGTTAGTTATAAACTAATAACAGAATTAGTTTATAATTTTTGCACCTAGCAGGTGTGACTGCTGTTTCCTATTTGAATTCTCTCCTTTGTTAACCTCACTGAACAGTTAATTTCCAACACAGAATGCACATTTCCTTACAGATAAACGGGTCAGTTCTAGCAGTTGAGGTTTTTTCTGTATTAGTTTCAATTAATTTTACATTGCCTAAAGAGACTTTTAGGGAGGAAGAGGTTGTCGAATTGTCCTACCCTTCTGAGTCTTCAGATGGTAATTCTTAAGTTTAAAAGGTCATGGTGAACAAGATTGGATTCGTTTTGTATATCACTAGTCCTCTGAAATTTCCTGTGCTCTAGGTAATTGTACCTTTTTTATAAAGTTAGTACAAGGTGAAATGTATTTGTGAGCCGACAGCTTCTTACCGCAGATGCCATTACGTCAGTAACATTCAGCCTTGAGCAAATTGTTTGATAACTAAAAGTTGCGTCAGGAATGAAACTGTTTACAGGTGCCCTCAGAACACCAGTAGCACCAGCTGTCTTCATTGCTAATGGGATAATTTATTTATCTTTCTGATTCTCTTGGCACTTTTAAAATAAGGATTTTTCTGAGCTACGTTTTTTCTTAGAACTGAAGCTTTTTTTTTTTGCCTTTTTATTTTTTAAGTTCATCCAAAAACTCCAGAAAAATTAATTGCTTCTGGGAACAGTTCTACAAATGTCCAATTGCGCTGGTATATAAATGGTAGCTTTACTGAGATCCGGCTTCTGTGTCAAATTGAAATTAGCAGCGGTCACTCTGAGCAAAAACTGGTAAGTCTTGCTTTTAATGGAATTTGTTTTGTTCAAATGTTGATTTTTTCCACTGCATTAATAACACTGACATTTTTTTCATAGCTTTACTCTGATCTTACTAAGTGATTAATGCAGTAATGACTGTAAATCCATCTACTAAAATCTGGAAGAGTTGTAATTTATTGTTGCCTGCTTTGTCTTGTTTATTTAGTATTACACAATTTAGAGGACAGACAGTTTAGCAACCACATTATTCGGTGCATTGAGAAATTGCGTAGTGTTTTATCCTGACCCTTCGCGTGGTAGTTTTTGTGCTTTGTCCTTCTTGATGCAAGCTGTGCTAACACATTAGTTCCCATGATGTGCTGCCGCTCTGCAGATTTCCATGGCAGGAGTTTCTCCTTGCCTCTTGCAATCTGTCATTGATTTTTTTTTTTTTTCCCCTTGGAGAACATTGCAGCTGCTTGCTGTCAGTAGTTCACATGCATGTGGCTGTAACATGGAGTTGCTAAACCTGCTCATGTGTCAGTGGTGTGGAGACAGGATAGGGAAGGATTCTCCCGTTGGGCATGTGAGTAGGCAATCCCGGTGAAGGCTTCTACATCTGGAGAGAAGATGATGTTTCTGGGTGAAGTTCACCTTTCTAGCATGTGGGCTTCTCGCTGCCTCGGTGCTGTGTCACTGACTGGAGCTGCATACTTGCTCTGCTGACTGTTAGAGTTGCTTAGGGTACTAATTTAAACATCAGCATCAGATGCTGAGTATAGCTGGTGGGAATATATCCTTGTCCTTCTTATTGCCTAACTTGCTGCGTGGGTGATCAGTCTCACTGGGGAAGCCCAGTGGCAAAACTGCGTTTTCAGTTGGCCCGGGGTCTACCCCCTGACACTGTGTTTGCATGTTCAGGTGTTATATCTCTGACCAACTCAGCTAGGCTCACACGGAAGTACCCAGTCTTGGAGCACAGAGCGTAGCCTGAATTGGTAATTTGAATATATTGACCTTCAGGTTACTTTTTAGGAAACTTGTTTCTTGGTTTGATTTTAACCAGCGTTCTGTTATTTGGTCGTAGTTGCTTACCAGGGAAAGCCTTGAATAGTGTTAGTCCAGCCACAGAAGTGAAACTGAACATGACCATTAGATACATTGTCCCTAACTTAATGGTGTGATGGTTAAGGCATGCTCTATATATACTGTCATAGTGTTTACAGAGCGTGTAAGCTTTTATATTTTCTCTGTAATCAAATGTGTTAAGTAGTACCCTGAGATCAGGTACTACAAAGAAAATCATAGCTATCTTGGAAATGAACAGGAGAAGGAACTGGCTTTAGATATAATTAACAGCTCTGACAAATGAGCTGCACTGGATTTTGTAGTAGTAGTTTGACCTATTTTCATCCAGAATTTACATTTGTCAGCTCCCACAGTTACTGCTCCTGGAGCAATCAGCAGTGAGGGCAAACACTGATATTTCACCCACCTCAGTTAGCTGAAATTGCCAGCAAAGGTGGGATTGCAGAGCTCTGTCCAGCCTGAGTCTCATGGGACAAAGTCTGGGGCACGTATTTGCTCTTGAGCTCTGCTTCAGTCACCTGGGGCAGTGGAGGATGATCCTGCACTGCCACTGCAAATTGCTTCACTGCATCTGTTTCAGAGCCCTCCATTATGGAGGCTTTTGAAATATAGCACACAAGTTTATATAAACTTTTTGCAGCTTTGTGTTGTCTCTGGTTACTTAATTAAAAACAAAACAAAAAACTCCCAGTCCTCTGTAATAAAAAGTGTCTGTGGAGTTATGATATTTTGATGGCATTTGGAGGATATTTTCAGGAGCTTTTCCATCCGTGTGAAAGATTGTTGGCTCTGAGATATATTTCCAAATTGTTATTTGGCTTTAGAAATGTACAATTAGTTGCAGCTTAAAGTTTTTTGCAGTCTCGTTCTTGGAAGCTGTGATGCACGTGTGTCATAATTAGATGAAATAAAGTATACTCCCAGGCTTAGAGTTTCTTTAGTAGGCATGAAACTTAAATACTGCCCAGACTTGCACCATTTTAAGAATAACAAGACCGAATGGTGCTGTAAAATAGACGTGAATAGAGATCACTTTGGTAAGACTTATATTGTCCTTTGAAAGAAATGGGACCACTGTGATAAGTATGTTGCTCTTATGGACTGTGTGCTTCTGTTTGTGCTTTAGGAAAAAAATGTCACCTTCTTCATAGATGTTGACTTTCAGCATAATTTAAGAGAAAAAAAAATCATGCCCAATTTTTATGTTTTTTTAACAGCAGAACGTCTCCATGGCTGGTGGAAAATTCTCAACCTACACAGCTCAGCTGAATTCCCTGCACCCGTATACTAAATACCAGTTCAAGGTTCGCTGTTCAGCTGCTGATCACTTCTGGAGATGGAGTGACTGGAGTAGGGCAGAGGAATACACTACACTGGAAGCCCGTAAGTCCATTTAGTTTGGTGACAAAATGTTGAACTTGTGAAACCATATATTTTAAAAGTTGCAGTAAAGGAAGCTATCTTTTTGATTGTTAGGTGTTAAATTGTCTGTTATGCAACTCATGATTTTTTTTTTTTCCTCAGCGCCTGTAAGAGGACCAGATGTTTGGAGAGAGAGAAGTCCTTCTGGAAGAAGTCTAAAAATTTTCTGGAAGGTAGATAGGAACTTAAAGTTTTAAAACATTATATAATCTAATTGAGCAAAGTGACATTCTTTACACGTTTATAAAAGTGCAAAGTTTACATTCAGTAAATAAGATTACATTTCTGAACTTTTTAAAATCATTCCTTAAGACAGGTATTTTTCCCAAAATGAGAATATTATGTAAGTTTTATATTTAAAAAGAAGTATTATAGATTTGAGAAGAATTTCACGTGAAGAATTAAATTATTAACATGCCGTAGGTTAAA